GAAAACCGCAATAGGGAAGAAACAGCACGGGAGACCACGATTAAGAAGGGAAGACTGCGTTAAAAGAGATGCTGGATTATTGAAACGAAACAGTCATTGGCAGGAAATAGCGGAGAATAGAAATGGCAAATATGTTAAATTATTCGTATGGTCTTGAATGGTCGAAATCGAGAAATAAGAAAAAAAATAATGGAAGCTGTAGTTGTCCAAATTAATTAAACTATTACTACGATTTTTTGAAAAAAGTATAAGCACACTGAGTATTAACATAAAATGTCACACGTTTCATTGATCGAAAGTCGAATTGTGACCATCTACAATTTGTACATTGTGAACACTGCAACCTTTTACGGATGGGGCATATTAAAGGTTAGGTCCCCAACGGGTTATTAATTTTGTGAATGGAATTGAGTTTTATGATTTTTTAAATCCGTGCGGTGCCATATTATTTACATGTAAGATTTTTGGGTCATGTTTGAGCGGTAACAATAAGCGCTGAATTTTCGATCAATATTTACAATAAATGGTTTACCGCTTCGCTGTTTTGTAAATGTTCATAAACTTGACTTTTATTATTTTCGCTATAAATGTATATCCCGTTTGCCGTTTTTCCGGATAGTTATGTGAATAAAAATATAAAAGTCCCGTTCATACAACAACTCGACGGATACACAGACGTATAACCAACTTTAGGACGCGAATTAACAGTGGAGACCATGATGGACAACATATTTTTGGAAAACGATGCGTACAAACACTGTCGTGTCCCTCTCGCCGTTCCCGTTTCTCGTACGAAAGAGAGAGAGAGAGAGAGAGTGAGAGAGAGCACCGAGTGGTGAACAGCCTATCGTTTGCGCACAACTCGATTGTAGATCATATAGATGATGTGTAACTGTTTTGTGTACACGTATTGCGGCGGCACGTGCTTCGGTCGTCGTGAAATAAAACGAAAACCACGCGGGCACGGTACAGACCGCAGAACAGATTGTCATAACCGCACTCGAGATTTTTCCGACGATTTGTCACGGGCGCGCACGCGTCCCCCGTCCGAGCCGACCGCTTCTTTCCCGGGACACGGTCGTTATCGTACGTGTTCCGATGCTTATGAAAATAAATCGGCTGTTTGAAAACCGACTCGGTAAAAGTCGCGTGCCGTTCGCGACCGTGTCGGATACAATGTAAACACACTCGACGAGGAGCACGTGGGAGAATACGGTACGGGTGCACGGCGAGACGGAACGCGAGTGGGTTTCCGCCGGTATTTCCGATTGTGTCCGACGGGGTACGGGCCAGTGCTCGTCGAGGGGCTCGCCGAATCCGCTGGTTGTTCGTGTTTACTATTGTGCACGCGCACCCCGGCCCGGGGGGTAGTGGGTCGTACGGCCGACGGGATGAGCGCACGCGTCGAATTAGAACAAGACCGCGGACAATGCGTGTAATATAACTGTATACGAGTGCGTGAATCGTACGATATTAGTGACGGCCCATTAACCGCACCACTGGGTTCCCACAACAGTGCTGCCGCGCGGAACAGTCCAAGGAAACGATCAAAAAAAAAAAAACACCCAAATATTAATTGTTTACCGCTAATATTTGCACAATTCTTTTCTTTTCCGTTTTTTTTTTTTTTTTTTTTTTTCGCGCGCCCCGTGTACGTGTGCGTTTATGTTTTTTTTTTTGCGAAGTACGCGCGCACTCGTCTACCTGAAATCTACCGCTGCGGCGAGTCCGCGGTGAGAACGGTAAACACTGCGCGCCCCGAACACGTTGTGCGCCCGCACGACACACATATATGTTGATTTGCGTTATTTGCATACGCAATCGCACCGTGCGATCCGCCCTGGTCCGGACGACTTGAGCGCACGGGCTATGCGTTTTCGATAAAATGTTACGTTTAATTTTTTTTTAATTAAATACCTTCCATGACAACCGAGGTAATACGAACGGTTGGAAAGCGAATGGATCCAAGTCGTAAAATTATTGGTTATTAGGGTTGGGCCGATCCTAGAACCGATACTTGGTATCGGCCGATATTGATGGCAAGGACAGGGGGGGGAGTCCAGGGCGTCCGGAACCCCCACGAAATTTCTTCAATGTTTCACAAATGTTTGAAATAATTATTTATATTTAATACCAACACAAATGTTTTGAATCAAAAATGACTTAAACTCCAATTAATCATTGACTGTTTTTAGATATTTATATAGCGTCTTATAATAATGATCACAGGTTTCTAACAAACGCGCGTTTTAAATAGAAATCTGACGTGACAAGATCTCAAAGTAATTTTGTTTATTTGATTTTATTATATTTTAATAAAAGAAGACTAATAATTCTTATTTTTAACCCAATATTAAAAGTCAAAATCTAAATATAATAAAATTACAATATACATGTTTTGGACCCCTCCCTCCAAAAATTTTTTTTTAGATATGGCCTTGATTGGTAGTATTAGAAATATCGGTATCGGTTTCTTTTCAAAACAGGTATCTGAACCGATACGACAAAAAAAAAATAAAAAAGAACCACCAGCATAAAATAGATTAATATCAATAAAAACAATATTTTAATCACTAAATATCGATAGTACTGTTACGGACATACATATATAACACATATTTAACATGGTTATTTAATTTGCAAATAAAACTGCTTACTTACTAAAATAATTTAATGTTTTTATTATGTGATATCGGTTTTATCGATTTGTAGTATCGGATTAATTTTAATATCGGTTTATGTTTTTTACCACAAAAGTTGATTTTTTACTTATTATATTAAAAATTAACTTAGTTTTTACTTGTGATAATTATATCGGGTATCGGTAAAAAGTCTTATCCATAGGTGTAACTTGGAAATTTATTAAGGGGGGCAAAAATATAATTACATATCTAACGAAAAGGGTGTCCGAGACTAAACGTCGTTTTACTAGCTACATATTATTGTATAAAATTATTCATTTTCTAACATTTTGTTAGATAAGCGAAAATTTAAAATTAAGATTTAAAAAAAAAAATGTTATAGAAATAGCTATAACCATCTGTTTTGTACTTATTTTAAAACAAGGTATGTTAAATATCAAAGGGGGCACTACCCCTCCTATTTTATTCTAGGAGGACAATTGCTCCTGGGGGGCAGTTTACGCCTATGGTGTTATTGGCCCATCCTTATAATTATTATAACTTTACCTATTATTATTAGATAGTGGCGTATTTATAAAATTATTTGGGGGGGAGGTCATACTTAATAGTGAAATAATTCTACAAATTCCTATAAAATTTTCTTTATCAACTTATTATTAAAATACTAAATAATAATAATAATTATATAAATTTAATTAAATTTAATTTATTTAATTAATAACTAAATTAAACGTATGATCGTATTAATCGTATTTTATATTACTTTATGTTGTGCATAAATATGCATAAGATGTACATAGTATATACTGATAACTGACAAGACGTGACAGTCACGGACTAAGATATTGATATTCTTATCGAACAATAATTTACCCAGATCAGATTATTTATATACCATGTGTGTGTGAGTGCCGTGTGGTCGATTGTTATTATTATTCGACTATAATTTAATTGTAAGCGATATTAATATTTTTATATATATATATTTATATTTTTTTTCATTATACTTTAATACTTTATTGAATAAAAGAATTAAAATTATTATATTACTGATATGTTTAAAATTTGACGTTTTCAAATGTTTTTTTTTGAGGCGTAACCCCCAGCACCCCCCCTCAATAAATACGCCACTGCATTAGGTAATATTTTTTTAAAATTAATAAAATGTTTAATGTGATAACGCCAGCCCTTGTAATATAGCTAACCTTGGTTCACTTGGCCACTCTCTAAGTCTGGCTTGGTTATTGATAGTCGTCGACTCGTAAGTCAATTCTGCCCAGTCCGCCCCCACACGTCAGTAAACCGTACGTCGAAAACACGTTCGGCCGGTCACTCGGCAAAATTAGGGTCGATCATGTGTACATAATTATATAACGTGTTCTCATTGTGCGTTTAACGGTCGGCAAGTCGACGACAACATCCCTTCATCCCTCCGTCGTGCAGCCAACGTCGCAGGATTTCAATAACGAAACAGATCGATTGGACCCAACGCTCGGATGTAAGGGAGGGACGACCGCGGAGATTCGGCGCGGAAAATAAAAGGAAATGTCGCTGACAGGTTCAAGTGAACGCGTGTCGGACACGCGCCCGTTATCCCACCACCGCTGCCGCCGGCCGATAATTATTTATTTATGTTAATTTATCGGTTCACAACAAGCGAAATTTCGCGGGTCGCCGCTGCTAGTAGTTGTACAAAAGATACAATGCCCCCCCCCCCCCCGTTAAAATCAACCGCATTGAATTTGAATTGTAGAACGATTCGAAAATTTGTCATCTAGTCGTCCATTATTTACCTTGTTTACCGTGTACAACCGAAGGTAAAACATTGAAAGGTCAAGGTAAGTTGAAATGTTAGTTTTTTTTCTTTGACAAACATATTTCTTATAAGGTTTTATAATTTTATTCACTTTTCCCTAAACACATGTACTCGTATAATCATCTTCAGTTATTATTATTCTTATAAGCTTAGTAGTTAAATTATTATTTATAATTAGTGGATTAGGAGAATTTTTAAGAATAATTCAAGAGTGTGCATGTTTGAACTAATTTGTTAGTTTCATATTTTTACTATTGGTAATAAATACAATAAATTATATTTGTATTTATAATCAATAATTTTAAATAACAATAAAACATAACATTATTTAAAAATCTATCTAAGGTTCTATAATAATTATGAGTATCAGGCCAATTTGTTTAACGAACAATGAAAATAAAATATATAAAAGATCAAGTTTTTTTCTCAAAACTACCTATTTAAAATTTAATTTTCGAAAATTATACTATTCAATACATTTTCAATTTTAAAATACAATTTCAAATACAAGTAAATTTACACAAAATGAAATAAAAAATAAATCATAAAGACATGGCGAACAAAATACAATAACAAAGACAAAGAAAATTAATCGATACATTCCAAGGCAAGCGTAATATAAAAAAAATGTTTAACATAAAACATTTCATATAAGCCAACGAACATTTTGACGGATAGAATAATTAACCAACATATGCAGAAAACGCATTATTTAAACAAAACCAAAAAAACGTGTAAACAAATTAGAAGATAATAATATGCTCTTGGATCGAAATATCGACACCACGCGTTCACAATGTTTTTAAAAAGGCCGCAGCTTATCGTTTATACCACCTTTTGTTTTTTTGGTAGATTTCTTGACCGAACTCTTGGCCGATTTTTGTCGATCGTCGTCACTTTTGTTTGCAGTTGCCGGAATCATTCCCGTGGCACCTACCGAAGCCCCGGCTAGCGATCCAATCGTTTTAAACATTAAATCCTTCTCAACTGCTTTAGCCGTGGACACTAAATCCTTTTCAACTGCTTTAGCCGTGGATACTAAATCCTTATCAACTGCTTTAGCCGTGGACACTAAATCCTTCTGGGCTGCTTTAGCCATGGATACTAAATCAGTAGGAGAAGTAGGAGAGCCCTTAGCTGCAGGCACCAGAGATGATGTGACGTTTTCCGCGGCAGCGATAATTTTGCCAGGAACGTCGTCGACCAATTGCGCACCGTTAACATCTTCATGTAATCGCTGTAGATATGACGTATCCCTCTCGTGATCCAGGAAACTGTGCATCACTTTAGGGTCTATCTTCACGTCGGCTTTGATGGCCATAACGCCCGTAGACTTGGACCGCGATTTGCCGAACTTCAAAAGGCTGGACGTGCTCCGGGAGACTTTTTTCGACGGCACCTCCGGCGTCGTGACATCCACCACCTCCTGGATATCTGAGCTCGAGGTCGGATGCGACGTCGATCTCTTGAACATCTTGAAGTTTGGCACCGACAACGACCTCGATTTATTTTTCTCCGGACTGCCGTTCGTCTCCTTCTCGTCGCTCTTCTCACGCTGCTTACCGTGGTTTAGCCGCAAGCCCGACTTGTCTAGTTTGATTGACATCCCTTCCGGCTGTTGTTCGTTCGGTGGCGACTCCTCGCGTTTGCCGAACTTCACACCGGATTTACCGATACCTAGCTTTTTCTCGCCTACGGTCACGTTCACGCCCGACTTGCCGATGCCCAACTCCAAACCAAATGGTTTTTTCTCGCTCTCCGGCGTGTTGCTGAACACTTCTACGGTCTCCGTGACGTTTTCCTTCTCGTCTCCCGGCAAAGAAGATGACGATATCTTTCGCACGCTCGTCTTCCGCACCGTAACCGTATGTGACGGATGTGGGGTACCCGTCACGTCGAATTCGTCTTGTGGATCTTCAATCGTGGTCGTCGTTTCCGTCACTTCTTCGATGATTTCATCTTCACCTTCTTCACCATCTGCGTCCACATATACTATCTCTTCAATCACTTCGTCGTTATCATCGTCTTTTTCACTTTTTATTTCGGACACACTCGATTTGACGGCAGAGGTTTTCTCTAACTTTACGGTGTCTTTTTCTTTTTCGGCATTTAATCCCAAAAATTTTAATTTTAATTCGTTATTTTTAGAGCTAATGCCTGTTGATGTAATCTCAGAAGAGTCTTTAGGCACATTAAGGACATCGTCATGATTCTCTTTTTTGTCGACTTCTTTTTTTGTGATCGAAATATTAGTATTATCTTTAACAGAAATTTCTTTTTCTGGTTCTATATTTACATCGATTTTATCCGCCATCTCTCCGAAAATGCTTTTAAATGTAGGCTTTTCTTTTGTATTATCATCTTTATTAACTTTTTCATTTAAAATTTCTTTTTCAGATGAGCTTTTTTTATTTTGCTCATCATCATTTGTTTTGTCATCTCCCGCCGCTCTTCTAAAAATGCTTCCAAACATTGGTTTTACTTTTTTATCAACAATTGTATTAAAATTTTCAGATATAACTTTTTTTATTGATTTTTTATTTAAATCGTTTAACTCATCTTTGATGAAATTTACCTTATCATCGTATAATTGGTTTTCTGAACCAGATTCATTCGGACTCTTATCCGAACCCTTCGATTTACGTTTTTTCTTGCGATATTTCTTGATAGAAGTCTGTGAATTACTTTCATTTGACACGCTACCATAACCATTTTTAGTATTTTGTTCACTACTATCCTCGTTGTCAGCATTTTCATTTTGTTGTTGTTTACTTTCATCACTATTAATTTTCTTTTTTTTATATTTTGGCGATGTCTCATCTTCCACAGTTGGTGTTGGTGCGTTTTTGGGCTGTAAAAGTGGTGTTTTTTCGTTTGTCGATTCGGCAGCTTCTAAATCTCTACCGCAACAACAACATAATTTTTGTATTATGTAAATCTAAAAAAAAAATATTATTTGTTTAAAAAATTTAAATAATTTAAGGTTTATCTTATACTAAATAGTAAACCTTATACTTACTTTAATAAAATTAAAAATGGTTTGGAAAGTTCCTTTTAAAGGAATTTGATCAGAGCCCGACAATTTATAATAATAACGGTTTACAGCTGTTCCAATGACCCCAAAGGCAACTATCAACGAACTTCTGAAAAACAAATAATTTCCAATATTGTATTTAACTATAAACCATTAATTGTATACTACTTACAATCCAGCTATTATTTGAGTTGAAGACAAATTTATACCTTTTGCGAAAAGTTTTGAAAAAAAATTATCAGAACTAACGCTGGCATCTGATTGGTTTGTAGGATTTGTGCTTATATGATCATCATCATTTTTATTGTCATTAGAAAAATTAGTACTTTTATCAGATACTTCTGACATATGATTAGTTTCTGTTACATATTGATAACTTTGAGTAATTTTACTAGCATTATTTATTGGATTCACATACATACTGTTTTCTACTGATGTATCTGTTTTAGTATTAGTATTAATGAATTCTTTGGGAGATTTTTCAGTTGACCGGTTTATTTTTTCAGCATCTGAGGGTACTTCCTGACTATTTTTACTATCACGATTCAAAGGTTGATTATTTTTTACAGAATTTTCATTGTCATACTGTGTATTTTCAGAATTCTGTTTGTGTTCACTACCTGATGTTATTTTGTTACTATTTGTACTGTCGTGATTCAAAGGTTGATTATTTTTTACTGACATTTCATTTTTATCCTGTGTATTTTCAGAATTCTGTTGGTGTTCACTACCTGGAGTTATTTTGTCACCACTTGTACTATCGTGATTTAAAGGTTCCTGAATATGTTCAGTGTTTGAGGGTATTTTGTTACTATTTATGCTATCATGATTCAAAGATTGATTATTTTTGACTGAACTTTCAAGATCATTTCTGAATTGCTTGTCAATATAAATATTTTCAGAATTCTGAATGTGTTCAGTGTCTGATGGTATCTTGTTACTTTTTGTACTAATATGATTCAGAGGATTATTTTCACTACCAGAGTTCTCATTTTCAATTTTGGATTTTATCTGCTCCTGATTGGTATTGTGATAAATATATTTTTGTTCACTGTTTGTGGATATTTTGTTACTATTTATATTATTATTATTTAAAGATTTATTGTCCTTATAAAAATATTTATTTTTGGATAGTTCGAAATTTATATTTTGAGAACTTTCTTTGTGTTCACTATCTATAGGTATTTTTTTACTATTTGTGTTGTAATAATTCAGATATTCATTTTCTTGGCCAGAAATTCTGTTTCTAGCTTCGGATACTTCATATTCAGACTTTGTATTTTCAGAGAACTTTTTATCTTCACTTTCAGACGATTTTTTGTTAATTATTGTTTTATGATCAGAAAAGTGAGCATGATCTATATCAGAAATATTTTTTATATATCTGGATGATTTACTCTCGAAATCGTCATTTTTAAATTTCTCTTCGTATACATTATCTGATAGTATTTTCTCATCTGTTTTACTTTCAGTTACATCTGAACTATGTTTTTTTTCTTCATTATTTTGAGGCTTAAAATTTTTATTATTATATGGACTTATAGCAATTGGTAGACTTGAACTGTTATGTCTTATATTCGTATGTTTTTCATCATAATTCTGTTTGGTTTCATTCATTAAATATTTATCCAAAACGTCTAGTGGAATTTCCGGCTGGCGATTACACGTTTTGGATGTTTTTATTTCAAACCATATTTG